TATCCAGAAACCTGAAATGCAAAAGCTGAAACTTTTTCAAGGCTGGACATGACACCTCAGGTGGAAAATTTCACACCGGACCTCATGTGATAGCTAACAGTCAGATGCAGGGTCACCAAGAATGTTCATGTAAAATTAGCTTCAGGCCATGAGTACAAGGGTATGTAAACCTAGGCGAGCCTCGTGTGTAGACTGGGTCTCATCCCCCGAGAGATCTCATGATGTATATGAGAATATTCTAAAATTTGGGGGAAAATATCCCAAATGCTCCTGGTCCCGAGCGTTTCAGGTAAGGGGCACTCAACCAGTGTAGTGTTTCCGTTTCCCATTCTCCTTCTTATCCACTCCATAGTTGCTGATGACACAGGTGCACCCCATGAGGAAGTGAGAAGCAGAGCGAGGCCTGGAATGGCATGGTGGGGAGCACGTTGGGCCGCGTGGGGCTGCCATGGGCTCATTGCTCTTCAGACCACAGCAGGGAGAACTTGGCGCCCGCGGGTTGCAGCTGGGGAGCGGTCGTGTCTCACAGAGGAGTAGACCCATCTGATCGGTGTCACAAAACTTGGACCTTGACTGTAAGTCAGGGCTGGGGAGCCCTTGTCCTGCTAAGAGCCGCTTGGATATTTATGACATCATTCGCAGGCCCAGACCATGTTATCAACTAAAAAATGAGCCTGCTATAAATGTATTGAATTCGAATGCTGCCTGTGGTTGCCTTAGCAGGGCCAGACCCGAGGATTTCGCAGCTCTTACACGGCCCCGCAGGCCAGATGTTCACCCTTTTCAGTAGCCTTTTTCTTCTTTGGGAAGGCATCGTAGAATTTAACAGAAGTTTCCTTGGGCTGAGACTGAAGAGCAAAATAAATTGGTCTAGGTGTTATATTGAAGGATTTTGTTTTAAAATCCTGCTCGGATGTAACATGGGGCAAACGTTCAGATAGCTTATCATTGATCACCCCTTTCGGCGGACAACATTAGCTTTTCCCAGGAAAGAAAAATGAGCTTCCTGTTGATGTACTACTTCGGCAGCAACGGTCGTTTCCTTTCAGTTTTTTATAAGAAACTCAGAAATTTTACCAACCTAGACATCGTATGTATACATTTCTGAGATGTTAACAAAACACCTGCCTTTCTCATTGTATTCAAGGATTTATTCTACAAGCATTTATTGAGTGCCTGCTGTGTGCTAGGCTGCTATGCTGGTTGGTAGGGATCCAGTGGGAAACTGATGCAGATTAAAAATTTTAAACAGCACAGTTTGAGCGATGCTGTAACAGCCATGGTTTATGAAGGTGTGGGAGTGTAATGAAGGGACTCTAGAGCCTGCCCAGAAGGGGCGAGAGAAGCCTGCAGAAAGAGGTGACGTCCACCGGTGTATCTTCGAGGGGGAGTAGGGATTTGCTAGAAGCAAAGGCTGCTGAGACGTGTTACGAGAAAGATCTCTTGCCTCTGAAGTTCCTAATTCAGATGTGTACCTTCGTCTTCTTCCAGGTCGTCTCTATGTCTTCCTTACTGCAGGCAGTCTCACCTAAAGGACAGTATATTTAAATATATACATATGTATATAAATATATCTACTCATTTGAAAGGCAGATCAAGTGGTGGGGGGAGGGAGATTTTCCATTATCTGGTTCACTCCCCAAATGTCTGAAATAGCCAGGCCAAAGTAAGGAGCCCAGAACGCAATCCAGGACACCCACATGGATGTAGGGACCCAAGTACTTGAGCCACTGCCAGCTGCTTCCCCAGGGTGTGTCTTAGCTGGAAGCTGGATCAGAAGTGGAGCAAGACTTGAACCTTGGCAGTCTGATATGGGATGTGGTTGCCCTAAGCAACAGCTTAACTACTGTACCAAAGCACCCAGCCCTCAAATTTCATTTTAATGCCCTGTCTAGGCCCAGTCCTGGAGAAATTGAATCAGAATTTTTGGGAGTATCTTTGAGAGTAGAGCCCAAGCATGTATTCTTTTTAAAAGTGTATACCAGGTGTTGGGGGTGGGGGCGGCAGTGGCACTGTGGCATAGCCGGTAAAGCCGGCACCTGCAGTGCCAGTATCCCATATTGGCACCAGTTTGAGTCCCGGCTGCTCACTCACTCTGATCCAGCTCTCTGCTATGGCCTGGGAAAGCAGTAGGAGATGGCTCAAGTACTTGGCCCACTGCACCCACGTGGGAGACCTGGAAGAAGCTCCTGGCTTCAGATTGGCTCAGCTCTGGCTGTTGTGGTTATTTGGGGAGTGAACCAGTAGATGGAAGATTTTTTTTCTCTCTTTCTGGCTCTACATCTCTCTGTAACTCTGTTTTTCAAATAAATAAAATAAACCTTTTTTTTTAAAAAAAAAGAATTTGTCTTATTTCTTAGACTTTTTGATTCTGAAGAAGCCAGCCAAATATTAAAAGGGTTAAAGAGACATTATTAAGATTTTCTTTCGTTTAAATAGAAACATAGACCTTCTTTCTCTTAAACCCAAGGAATGTATTTTTTTTTTCATAATTAAGCCCTCATAGGCCCAAGGTCTTTGTTCCTTCTTGTTCATCTGCACACTCTGTGTGTGTCTACAGCAAGGCTGCTTCTGTCGCTGGCACCAAGCGGAGAGGTGGGGAATCCGGGGACCTTTGCAGGCAGCCCTGTGCTCTGTCACTTGGCCACAAAGTGGGGAGGGGGGCTGTTGCTAATTCCTGTGCTCGGCTCTCTGTTCCACACGTCAGCCAGGCACTGTCACTGTTCAGAGAAACTGCAGGCCAGTGTGCTGGATCTTGGGCCATGTTGTCAGGAAGGAGCTGGGACAGCTTGCAAGCCTTGTCTCTCTGAGCCTCACCACGCCTCTCACTGTCAGGGCCTCCCTCTTGCAGCCTGATCTTCCTAGGATGTTGCTAACCTCTGTCTGCTTCATGACCCTTTTGGGCCCAGAGGACTTCCCAGTTGATGTGTTGACTCCTGGAGATAACCATATGCTTCAAGGGATTGGCCTGGCTGTCTTCGTGGTTGGACTAAGCCTTTGATTTTGCCTCCAGCTGATACCATCGTTTAATACCTACCACAAACTTAAACTGTGCAGGCGTTGCCATGTGAAATCAGCCTACACAGAGCTTGCATTTGTACACCCAATTTGCACTGGGGTGGGAGTGGAGAGGTCCTATTTCTGACTCCTCGCTACACTTCTTTCCTTCCTGCCACTCATGATTTTTTAGCAAGAAGAGGAGTTAGCAGGGCCCCGAGAGGGGGATGGGATCCAAAAGGCTTGTAGAATGTGGCTGGCACATCCAGGATATAAAAGCTACCTTAGCATTAAAATCACCTCGAAACTCTGCTAGTATTCCTTCCGCAAAGGGTTCTGGTTATAAACAAAGTGAATAAAATTTCTTCCTGATAACCTTGCTAAATACAATATCTGATGCCATGAAACGACCTCATAGAAATGTTTTTACCATGCCTTTGAGGAAGCCAGCAGATTTCCACTTTCTCAAATTGTCACTGTAAATACCCGAATCTAAAAATAGCAGCCTCTGGTGCGTCTGTGCAGTGGCTGTGTCTCTCGGAGGGCGTCCTGGACGTTCAGGGCGGAGCCTGCTTGTATCAAATGCTGCTTTGAGTGAGGGTGAATTATGAATGGAACCATGTGTTTTCCATAGAGCAGTAGCCCGACAGTAATAAGAGGCAGGTTTTCAAACGTTAATTTTCAGAGTACTGTTTTAAAAGTTAGAAACACTAAAAATTCTCTGCTGCTGCTGTAAAGTGAGATCCAAGAGCTGCGGTGGGGGTGCTGGGTGGGCAGGAGTCCTAAGTCATGAGCTCTAACCACCCTGGGCCACGGCCCTGTGCTGTCTTGCGGGCCACTGGTTGTTCGCCAGAAATGTGCAATGTGGAAGCACAAGGACTCTCAAGTGAGGGCCTCTTTCTAAAATTGCCCACTCTGAGTATTGGACCATAGAGAAATACTTGGAAGCTCCCAAAGATGGGGAAAGTCTTGCCCTCTTCCTCGAAGATCCCTGTTTTTTCCTGGGGGAGGATGAGGGACTTGTTGGAAGGCAATTTCAAGAATGGCAGGAGGTGTGCTTTGGTCCATCTACTGCAGATACAGAGATCACCAGAGCGTCTGTGGAGGGCAAAGGATCCATTAAGAAAGAGGCCATTGCTCGTAGGGAGATGTGAAACCTCAGGGAACCTGCCTGATGAATGTGTTCCCTTCTGCTAGGAGAAGCCTGCCTTTCTTCCTAGCAAGAGACATATGGAATAAATCACCTATGGAGCAAACAATATTTGAGATAAATGCAACTGTCATACGGTTTCCTAGGAGTTCTGCAAGGACACTCAGCAGGCAGCTGAGTCTGTATGTACCAGGGGCCCCACCATGCCTGTGGACAAGGACTCAGTGCTACACTGTTAGTGCTTTGTGTGCGTGTTGTCGAGGAATTGGGCCATTCTTCAGAATTTCCATCTAGTAGAAATACAAAGCCCAGGTCCAACACACTCATAAATAAATCAGTAAACTAATGGAGGTTTGGTTTTCCAGGCAGTCAGAGCACAGTTTCTAAACACGGTTGAGAAAAATTACCTGGGACATATGGAGCGTGATTGAACAGTGACCTTTCAGATTAATTAAGGAAGCGGGAAGCCCCAGAGGGCTGGCGAGCAGGTTGCTGTTGATGCCTGGAGGAGCTGCAGAATGACAGTGTGGGGGAACTGTTCGGCAAGAGCATGTGTTGCAAGCTTATCGGCGGAAAACGCTTTTCTCTGAGTTCAAAAGAGAGACACTGTGTTATTCTGAGTAAAATGTAGACCCTCCGACTAATTAGATTTTCTCTTCAATGACTTTTGAGTTTCCACGTTAAAACCTGAACTCGTTCCTGTTTCACACAGGAAACAAGGGTGAAGTAGGGGGGCCTGTGGGTCGGTTCTCTTAGACTGTGATGCAGCCACAGCATCCCTTCTTGCCATTTTCTGTCTGCAAATGTGCACTGGTCCTGTGTGCTCAGTGGTTTAATCGTGGCAGGTGTCTAACGAGCAACTCTTGTCTCCCCAGCTGACTCGGGTGCTGGCACCTTGGCCGTGTTTATGGCCAGCAGCGGAACCGCAGAGGTCGCAAATCGGAACAGCGCAGCCACACCGCCCAACACCCTGAACCTCCGCTCCTCCCACAATGAACTGTTGAACGCCGAAATCAAGCACTCGGAAACCAAGAACAGCACCCCTCCCAAATGCAGGAAGAAATATGCACTGACTAACATCCAGGCGGCCATGGGCCTCTCGGACCCAGCCGCCCAGCCCCTGCTGGGAAATGGCTCTGCCAACATGAAGCTGGTGAAGAACGGGGAGAACCAGCTCCGCAAGGCTGCCGACCAGGGCAGCAGGACCCCAACAAGAACATCAGCCCCACGGCCAGCATCAACATAACTTCTGAGAAGTTAGAGGGCAAAGAGGCCCCCCCGCAGGAGTCCTCGGCCTGCGAGATTTTACCCGCCCAGCCCAGGAGAACTAAGAGCTTCCTAAATTACTATGCAGACCTGGAAACCTCGGCCCGAGAGCTAGAGCAGAACTTGGGCAACTGCCCCGGGGCTGGGGAAGAGAAGTCCCCGGCGGGCCAGGGCCAGGCCTCCACCATCGCCGGGAATGGCGAGTTGCTGCTGCAGAAACCAAGCAAGCGCCAGACCAGCCCTGAAGATGGCCAGGTAGCCACCGTGTCCTCCAGCCCAGAGACCAAGAAGGATCACCCTAAAACGGGAGCCAAAACCGACTGCGCGCTCCACCGGATCCAGAACCTGGCGCCGAGCGACGAGGAGTCGAGCTGGACCACCTTGTCGCAGGACAGCGCCTCCCCCAGCTCCCCGGATGAAACAGGTACCTCCCGGGCCGGCTGTGGCCTCAGCGGCACTTCTCACTGGGTGTGTGTAGCTCTGGATGGAGTGAATCTCTAGACTGAGCAAAAATGGCCATTCCCAGGCAGAGAGGAACGTGAGCCTTTTGGGGTGAGATTGGGCAATGTGTGTTGGAGTCCTTGATCATACTTTGGCTTAGTTTTGTTCCAGTGAACATGCCTGTAAAAGAAATATGCCCTTGGTGTTATGTACAGTAAAACACCGTCTACGTAGAAATTACACTGCCAGTGCTTAGGGGAGTGTATCTACCCAAGAATACTGGCTTTCGTTAAATAAATTGAAAAAATAATACAGTTGCAGTGGGCAGGATTTAAACTGATTAGAAGAGAGCCAACTATTTAAAAATCTTCAGAAGAACTTAGTTATGCTTGAAAAGTTGGAAATTTAAAGCATCAGGAGTCTGTTTAATGAAGACATTTTCCTTTTGCCCTTTACTGGGGAGTATTTTATTAGCCTGTTCAACTGATATTTGAAAGTGAGAAAATGGCATATCTTGCGAAATCTGTTTAGACGTCTAGGATTGCAGCCAGTAATTGAAACCGGTCTCTCTGTACTTTTGCCTGTATGTGTGACATCTTTGGCTTTTCAGAGGGGTTAAGATTGTGACAGAAGTGAATGGGGTCCTAAAAGGCAGCTGTATTTCATCTCATTTTTTTCCTAGTCCCCACTCTCCTGATCATCGTAAGATTGAACGATGGCCATCATGAGGCTGTTGTATCTGAACTCGCTGTGAACAGGACTCAGAAAGGTAGCCCAGCACCTGCTCTCATGGATCCCAGGGCCGTCTGAATGTGCTGCAGATAGAACAAACAAGACAGGTGTGACCACCAAAAAAGGAAGACCATACTCCCAACCTGTACGGCAGATAAAGTGCAAGCATGAAAGATAAGGAAAAGGAGGAGGAGAGAGTTCAGATGTTAACTTGTTTTATTTAAAAAAAAAAAAAAGGTGTTTTTGAAGTGCCCTTTAAAATCGCAGTACTTTAAGTGATCGATTCCATCATCTTCCTGCGCTGGATATGGTAATAGAGATTGAGATGAGTCCTTTTCCTCTCGTAAATGTCTAGGCCTGCACATTATTTGAATCATAATTGTGTTCGGTAATGTCACTCAGTTCACGGCTCTCCGTTCCTTTTTACCCATTTGGAAAATTCATATCCTATAGCTTGTGAACATTGTCACCTACCAGTATTGGTATGACTCCTAAGCATGTTTTCTAGCATTTTATTTATTTATATTTTATTTGTGGGGCAGAGAAACAGAGTCCCCATCTTCTGTTTCACTCCCCGAATGCCCACGGCAGACAGGTGGCTGAGGCTGAGAGCCGGGAACTCGGTGTGGGTGCCCCACATAGGTGGTAGGGACCTAAAGCCATCAGTGCTGCCTCTCAGGGTCCGCATTCACAGGAAACTGGGCTCAGAGCAGAGCCAGGACTGGAGCGTAGGCACTCCAGGGTGGGATGCAGTGTCTTAATTGTCAGGCCAAACGCCCACCCTGCCGACGCGGCCATCGCACAGCCAAGCTCCCTCTCCTGCTTTCAGTGCCGTCCGCGGTGGCCTCAGTAATTCCTGTGCAGTTAACTTGCAATCCGTTGGAAGTGCTGAATTAACTGGAAGGCATTAAAGGAACAGTGAAGCCCCCCCTGCCCCTCATAACTCTTCCCAGCCATGACCACTACGTGTGTTTGTGTGTGTGTATGTGTGTGTGTGTGTGCATGCATGTATGTCCTTCCAGAAAACAATTTAGGCAAATACCCACATTTATGATACATTTAAAACTTTACTCAAGAATTTGTAATGACAATATTTTTAAAGAGCCCTTGTCTTTTAGAGATGTACGCTAACATGTTATAGTGTCAGCTACACAGTATAGTATAACACAGTGTGCTCTTCATAGCCATGAATTCACTCAACTGCCAATCAGAAATGCCTGGGGGAAGAAATTACATCCGTACTGAATACTTTTTTTCTTGACGTTATTCCCTAAACAATAAGTATAACAACTATTTCTGTAGTACTCACATTGTGTGGGGCATATAAGTAATCCAGAGACGATTGAAAGTATGTGGGAGGACGTGTGTGGGTCGGAGGCAAATACTTTGTACCGACTTTAAAAGGAGCCTGAGCACCTGCAGATTGTGGTATTCGGGAGAAGTCCTGCAGCCAATCCCCTGTGCATTCCGAGGTCCAGGTGTGGATACTAACGTAAACAATAGTATGTATGGGGTTTTCTTCAACAGAATTAGGGTTGGGAACAACAAAAAAACAAGTTGTCCAGATGCTTCTGACGGTTAAAGCTGCGTTATGGGTATATGAAGGCTCATCATGCTCTATGATTTGTATGCTTGCAAATTTTCAAAGAAGTTAAAGCAAGAAAAGCATTACTCAAATTGTTTTGTGTTTTGCTTCTTCCACTTGAGAACCTATCTTGCAGATCCGTCCATTTTTGTACTTCAATTTGTTAAGTATTGTCCATGGTATTTCTCAACATGTGTTCTGTGGTTTATTTAGCGTTTCCCCCACTGATGAGTATGTAGATGTTTCTAGCCAGTAGCCCTTTTGCTGAGTGGAGAGCCTGGTATAAGGGCCTGAGGAGAGGGCAAAGTGGACACTGAAAATATTCAGTCCCCTGTACCTACTGCGATGTCCTCCTGAGGTGTGCTTCTGCTCCCTCTCTCGGAACACTTCCCCGCCGCTGTGCGCTGAGCTTTGCTGCTCATTGGCTCAGTGTCCGCGGGTTACCTTCTGTTGGGCTCCTCCCGTTACAGGGCTTGGCACATGTTGTGAAGTGTATTAGAGTTTTCTGACTTGTGGAGAAGATGCACTCGGTTTTTGCTTTCAGAATTGGTCTTGAGGCCCTTTGAATTCACAGTGAGGTTGACTGTGCTGGTGGCCCTTGGCAGGTGGCTAAGGATGGACTTTGAATCAGAGCTACTTGAGAGAAAGTGTTAGCTGTGACTCAGGAGCCATGAGACTGCATCTTTAACAAACACACGAGGAGCCAGGCCTGTGCTGTCCTTCAGAACGAGTGTTTGCGGATCACAGCACGCTGCAGTTCTCAAATTATGAGCACTAAGACATTTTGGAATGGTCTCAGAGTCAGCTGTGGGACCTGCCTGAAGTGAGCCCTCCTTAATGCAGATGAGACATCCTGATCACCTGTCCCAGTCTCGGGCAGCGGACACTGAGTGGATAGTGAGGAACCAAGTGGTGCTTTGGCACGGATCTTTCTTTTGATTTTTCTCTTTCCAGTGAACTATATTGTTGGTATTTAAAATGGTCACGGGGCCGGCGCTGTGGCGTAGTGGGTAAACTACCGCCTGCAGTGCCAGCATCCCATATGGGCACCAGTTCGAGTCCTGGCTGCTCCACTTCCAATCTTTGCTGTGGCCTGGGAAAGCAGTAGAAAATGGCCCAAGTCTTGGGCCACTGCACCCACATGGGAGACCTGGAAGAAGCTCCTGGCTCCTGGCTTTGGATCAGCATAGCTCTGGCCTTTGCAGCAAATTGGGGAGTGAGACAGAGGATGGAAAACACCTCTCTCTATATCTCTCTCTCTCTGCCTCTGCCTCTCTGTAACTCTGCCTTTCAAATAAATAAATGAATACATTTTTTTTTAAAAAAAGAACTCACTGTAAGTCTCCCACATGGGTGCCAGGGACTCACCCTCTTGAGCCAGTACCTGCAGCTTCCTGAAGCTTGCATCAGCAGGAAGCTGGAATGAAAAGTGCAGCCTGGATTTGAACCCAGGCCGATATGGACATAGGCATCCCAAGCAAAGTCTTAACCACTGTGCCAAAGTTCTGCCCCATCAACGTGATAAATTTAAATGAATCATTATATGTTTCACATATAATGGTAAAATCAGTGTTTTGTAATGTTTACTGTATGTGCTATATAGCATATGCATATTTGTTTATCATCATATATGTAAAAGATATTGACCGTTGAAAGACAATTAAAAGCAGATGTTTTATAAGATATTAGTATGCTGTTCCATAGTACTTACACAGTGTGTATTTGCCTGTTTATGCTCTGTGTGGTATAAATACGTATCACAGTGGTGTGTGTTTTATGACTAAATCATGGCACAATTATCTCTGGATTGTAGACTGCATTCCGGGAGCCTTGAAAAATAGAGTTGAGTCATTTCTACCCCAGGGGCACCCTTTCCAAGTTAGAATGCTATTTATAAAATAAAACACACTGCCGGCCTGGAGATGGACTGCTTTCTCTTTCCCTTTCTTTCTGAATTGCCCCCCTCCAGCTTTTTAGTAACTTTTTTGCTCAATCAATCATGTGGACACTATGTTGCTGCTCTTTTTCTCTGGTGTAGTCTGTCCTTGGAGAAAGCCAGAGGCTGTAAGGACAAAGAAGAGCGTCTATGAGATGCTGGCGTGCTCGGAGGGACCTAGGGACGCTGGTGCTTCCACCCTGATTCTGAAAGAAGCAGTGGCATCGGCCAGCCCTTCTGGTTTGGGTTTTGTCAGATGCGTTTCCCTGGGTGAGCCTCGTGGCTGAGATGAGTACCTGTGGTCACACTGTGTGTGGCGTCTGTCAGTCACTTGGTGTTTACATCGTGAGTACTTTTGAAAGATGCAGCGTTGTGGAGGTTTCAGTGGCCAACGCTTGGGTTTAATTTGGGACTTAGCAGAGTTGAAGACACAGAGTAGTGAAGCCAGATGGATCTTATGTAATAGGCATTGCAAAATTAGGTTCATTACTAAAGTGTACAAGGGCAGAATTATGCACAGAGCAAAACAGGTCTAGGCGGTGTGGCAGTGGGCTTCAGGCACCATTAACTTGTGGTTAAGAACAGGGGCTGTGTGGTCAACTTCCTGAGTTCAAATCCTGGCTCTGCACCATTGAGGCGTTCATCTACTTAGAACATCCCTGATGTGTGGAATAAGCTATTTGATGTTGTGCTTTAATCCATGTCTGATTTTGGTATGAGCTATATATTT